ATGTGGTAGGAGATGCCTTAAGCCGAAAATCTCGTGGAACTTTGGCCTATCTGGCTATTTGGAAGTGGAAGATGCTTAAGGATTTGGCAGAGATGGGATTGTATTGTTTTGATGACGATGTTGATAGCGAGCCAGCATTCTTGTTTAGTCTTGTGGCTCAGCCTACTCTTGTTGTACGAGTGATTGAGTCACAGAGACAAGACCCGGATTTAGATGCCATTCACGCTTTGATCTCTAGTTGTGAGACAGTGAAAGATTGGGCCTTGTATGCAGATGGGGGTCTACGGTTCAGGGGTTTGTTGGTGGTTCCTACGGTTTGTCGTGAGGACGTCTTACGGGAGTTTCACACTTCCCGCTTTGCAGTTCATCCAGGTGGTACCAAGATGTATCACAATTTAAGACGTCAGTATTGGTGGAACGGGATGAAGAAAGATGTTGCACAGTTTGTGGCTAGATGCCTCGCCTGTCAGCAGGTGAAGGCAGAGCATCAAAAACCAGCCGGTTTATTACAACCATTGCCTGTAGCGCAGTGGAAATGGGAGCATATTGCTATGGATTTTGTGACAGGTCTTCCAAGGTCACGAAGGGGCAATGAGTCCGTATGGGTCATCATTGACAGATTGACCAAGACGGCTCACTTTTTGCATATTAAGGCAACAGATGATGCAGAGAAGCTTGGTGTTCTTTATGTGAAAAATATTGTAAGGTTACATGGAGTTCCAGTAACCATTGTGTCAGATAGGGATGCTAAGTTCACTTCGAAATTCTGGGAAGGACTTCAAGCAGCGTTTGGCTCAGCGTTGCATCTAAGTACGGCATTACATCCACAGACTGATGGTCAGTCAGAGCGTACTATCCAGATTTTGGAAGATATGCTCCGGGCATGTGTGCTTGAATTGGGTGGTAGTTGGGAGGATCGCCTTCCACTTATTGAATTTGCCTACAACGACAGTAATCAGGCAAGCATTCAGATAGCTCCATTTGAGGCGTTGTATGGTAGACCTTATAGATCTCCTGCTTGTTGGACTGAGGTAGGCGAGACAGCCGCCTTAGGACCTGACATTGTACTCGAGACTACTGAGAAGATTAAGTTGATAAGACAGAGGTTACTTACAGCTCAGAGCCGACAGAAGAGTTATGCGGATAAGCGGAGACGGTCGTTATCCTTTGAGGTGGGAGACCACGTTTTTCTTCGGGTTTCTTCACGGAAGGGATTGAGGATTGATGAGATTCGGGAAAAGTGGCAAGTTGTCGCCATGATTCATTGGACCATTTGAGATTTTGGACTGTGTAGGAGAGGTTGCCTACAGACTTGCTTTGCCACCACAGTTGGATAGGGTCCACAATGTTTTCCATGTATCGATGTTACGGAAGTACGAGCCAAATCCATCTCACATTTTGAGTTGGGTTGATGTAGACATTGATGAGGATGTTTCCTACGAGGAAGGACCAGTTCAGATTCTTGACACACAACAAAAGGTGTTGAGGAACAAGACGATACCAATGGTGAAAGTCCTTTGGAGACACCACAGAGTCGAGGATGCTACTTGGGAGCTCGAACAGGAGTATCCAGAGTTGTTTTCTTCTCCGGGTATGTCTTGATTTCGGGGACGAAATTTTTTAAAGTTGGGGAGAATGTAATGTCTGTAAGTTAAAAAAAAAAAAAAAAAAAAAAAAAAAAAAAAAGGTGGGACCCACAGCTTTTGTAAAGTAGTCATAAGACCACGTTTTTTTTTTTCATTTTTTCTTGTTCTCTGTTTTCTTCTCTCCCGCAGCCTCTCTGTTCCTCTTTATTTTCTTTTTTCTTTTTTTCTTTTACAACTTCAAATCTTGATTGCTCTCTCAATCCTTGGTAGATTTGAGAGCCGTTTGAGGCAAAACGACAAGCACGACGAGCTCTACGTGCTAGTACCAGAAATTCCGGCTTTTGGTCCTCTTTGGGAGCTCGAATTTAAGAACCCATTTCTAGGGATTTTGCTCATTTTGAGGTAGGGGCATCTTAATACACTCCTTTCTTGTTCTATTGTGAATTACACCTCCTTGTCGCGTCAAACATGTTTAATTGGGAGTTAATTGTATCTATGATTGTATGAATGATGTCTAGAGAATTTTCAAGAGCTTGATTATGACTTGTTTCATGTGTAAAATATGTTTAGAAGTTGCTTTATCATGCCCACTATGTGTTAACATGCTGAAAATGACAAATGAGAACATGTTTATTTAGATTGTGCCAAATTTCCCATTGTCATAATATTGATATTATATGTACATCCATGCACATGTCATTGGGATGCATAAAATGGGAGAATTTGTCTTGAAATGAAAATGGGGAAAATTTTAGGAGAAGAGTTTTGTCAAATAGTTTTGATAAACCCGATCACTGCGGGGTTACCAACGGGCCGGAGGTTAATATAGCCTAGAGGGGACTAGGGAGTCGCCCTAGCGTGGTTGAGCTATTCAGGCCCCTCGATGACGTTGCGGGGTTACCAAAGGTCTAGGGACGATAGCCAATCCTCCTCTCGTGTCGCGGCGGGGTTACCAAAGGGTGGGCTGTATTAACATTTGAAAGTGATGGTTTTGTGAATGAAAATGGGGAGTGACATTAGCATGTATTACATTTCATTGCACTGCATGGTTTATAATTGGAATTGACGTGCATATTGTTTTAATTCCCTAAATTGCATGATCCCTATTTTCCATTGGCCTATGCTTTGTTTGGATTCACAAGGACACAAGAATTGTGTCTTAAGTGTCACCTACTGAGCTTTATGCTCACCCTACTATTTATATTATTTTTTTCAGGTCTTAGAAATGAACCGGTGGACGACAATCCACCTCAAGCTTGAAAGTTGTTAGAAGGTTGTTTAATATTTTGTATTTTGACCATTTTATGTATATTCATAGTTGTGGAGATGTAACTAAGTTAGTATTCATGGCCTTGTAACATAAGAACAAACTTATCTTTTGTTTGATGTAAATGAAACTAATGGAATTATGGTATATGTTTTCATGCAATTGTATCATGTAACGTTGTAAGACAGGGACTTTAAATCTTAACCGTGTATTTTGGGACTGTAATTATGTTAATTTAGATTAATTGGTGTGTGAATGTTCCACCATGAGAGGAACTATGTTGAGGTATAATAAACGGATGAATGGGATGCTGGATGATTTTATGTGTTTTGTGTATTGGGACAGGTTGTTGAAGGCTCATTTTTAGGGGAGGTTATGCCGAATTTTTTTTAAATTTTGGCATCAGCTAGGGTCGTTACAAACACACTCTTGCTAGCCACGTCAACACAATTGCTAACTTGATTAACAAGCCACACGTACATTGTTAGCCAATATTGTCCTAATAATACTATGATTAAATTAAACTACCTAGAGTAACTATACATCATGTTATATTAAACTTGGAGAATCATTATTCATGAACCTCATGTTGTATCAACCAAAGAAATATTTATATAATGAAGTTCTCTCCTTACTTACCTTTAAAAAATAATAATAAAGAAATACATTCTAATCAATGTAAGTGATCATGCTATATACTTGAACTCATATAAGAAGTTGGCTTGAAATTACTGCAAAAAAATGAGCAATTTAAACTTCAGCTTCATTTTAAAATTAACTTATTTTGATTTGGAATTGAAGTTAGAGGAAACCCACTGGTCAACACAACTGGACTTTGAAAACAATTCCCATGAATGGGTCGTAAGTAAAATGTTAGGTGGTCAATTTATTTAAAATAGTGTGCCTTATTTTAGTTATAGATACTACTTGTCCCTACCAACTAATTAGACTCGATCAAGGTCAATAGGTCAATAGTGAATGGACTCTGTGAAAAAGAAAAAATAAAATAAAATAATGAATGACTCTGAACCGTGTCAATAGATGAACTAAAATACAAATCAAGTCAATTTTGTATGAATGACAAGCCAGTATATACATATACATATGGGTGTGTGTGTGTGTGTGTGTGTGTGTGTGTTAATTGAATACTCCGTATAACTTAACAATTAAGACATACTTCTGATTAGAAGTACTCCAAGCTAGGATTGAAAAAAACAAAATAATGTAGTACCAAAGAGTAAAGCATCCTCAGAAACACCTGCATTTTGAGCTGCCAAGCAAATTCATCACTCCAACTGAAGATCAATTGTCCATTAGGTAACCGTAATTAAATTAATTAATTAACATAGAAAACATGGAAACAACCGCGTGTTTTGTATCTCTGATGTATGCGTATTTATTCCACTTTAAAAAATTGAACCAGTCAGTTCTTCCTTGTTTATACAAAAAGTCCCAGTCACTTCACACACACACACATTAAAAAATAAATAAAAAATTGAAGTAGGTTGTTAAAGATTCTTGGGGTCTTGGCATATATTTGCACCAGCGACCGGTTTAGTCTTTTAGTGGGATGTTTTTCCTGGTGAAGTAAGGCCGGTCAAAGTGTTTTTGTTGCATGTTTTGTGTTGAGGGTGATTTACAAAAATAAAGGTTGAATCTGTTTCGAATGAAAACGGAAACGCAAAACAGCAACAGTTGCCAACCGAACCCTAGTAAGTTGTAAACAAGGAAGAACTGCACAAACAAAGGTGGAAGATCGATGGTCCAGCAGCCCAAAGAAGCATTAATTACTTGATCAGCAAGTTGGAAAATGGTCTTTGCTTAGGATGTTTGTTTGTATTAATTGGATGAAGCTAAATGCCATGAAAATTACCAGGAAACTCCTATATATGGTGTGGATCCTACTTATACCAAATCAAGAATAAGATACATATATATATATATATATATATTCTTCGCTGGCCTGATTGCGATTGCTGGCCTATGATAGTATGATACGAGACTTTCCGAGAAGCAATCAGGCCAGCGAAGAATATATATATATATATATATAAAACTTACAAAGTTAAAGAGTAATGGAGGTTCTTCTTAGCTATATATATATATATATATATAACTTACAAAGTTAAAAGAGTACTGGAGGTTCTTCTTAGCTAGGTAGCCAAATAGGATGGGAACATTTGGTCATCTCTTCTTTACTATTATGGCCTTGGCCTTGTTTACATATCCCCAAAAAGTAATAGCCTATCAAGGTATGAATCACACAACAGCAACAAACCTTGTCAAGGGCATTATAGGTGCCATTGTGGATTACACTTCTCGTATAGGTAAAGAAGAGAGAGTTGCAATGGAAATGGCGATCGACGATTTCAACAGCCTCACCAACCAAACACTCACTCTGCGTGTAATGAACTCTCAAGGAGAAACCTTCCAAGCTGGTCTTGCTGGTATACATATTTTCTCAACTTAATTTTATACTTGCGTAAGAAATTTTGTTTAATTATATCCTGATAAAGCAATAAAGCAAACATCAATACACAACAGATGGCTGTGAATAAAATTTACATATATATATGCTAATTTTTGTTAACAACAATGACTTGCAGCTAGAGATCTTATCGACAAGGAGGGAGTGAAAGCCATTTTGGGGCCACAGACATGGGAAGAAACGTCAGCAGTTGCAGAGATTTGTAGCCAATATTCTCATACAATTCCACTTCTTTCTCTAGCCGATGCTGCTCCCGCATGGGCAACCACGCGCTGGCCGTTCCTGATTCAAGCCTCACCGAGCCAAGACACACAAATGAAGGCTGTGGCTGCTGTTGTTCAGTCATGCAGATGGCGTAGGGTGGTCTTTATATACGAGGACAGTGTTTCTTCTGCCAACGGATTAGTCCATCTCTCTGATGCCCTCCGCGAAGTAGGTGCAGAAATAGGCCGGTTCCTAGCACTCTCACCTTACAACGACTTGTCTCAAGAGCTTGAGAGGCTTGAAGGAGACCAATGTCGAGTCTTTTTGGTTCATTCGTCCTTGCCAATGGCTATTCGTGTATTTGAGACCGCGAAGAAGTTGAAGATGATGCAAAAGGATTATGTGTGGATCACTACCGACTCCACAACAAGTCTTGTCCATTACATTAACCATTCTTCCATTTCCTCCATGCAAGGGGTTCTAGGCATCAGGAGGTATTTCCGGGATCCCCGGACACATTTACATGATTTCTACCTGAAATTTCGTAAAAAGTTTGCTTTGGAGCATCCAGAAGAAGAAAATCATGAACCTGGGATTTTCGCGCTGCAGGCCTATGATGCCACTAAAGCAGTGGCTTCAGCAATTCAGGAAGGAGACAGAGAAGGCCAACAATTGTTAGAAAAAATTTCATCGAGTGACTTCAAAGGCTTAAGTGGTAATGTCAAATTTGTTGGGAAAAGATTAGCTCCAGCAAAAGTGTTTCAGATTGTGAATGTGATCGGAAGGAGTTATAAAGAACATGGGTTTTGGACCTTCAAAAAAGGCTTCTCAGAGACCATTGATGAAGGGGCTATCTACAGTGATTCAATGGACACACTGGGGATAGTGATTTGGCCTGGGGGACCTCGGTATACACCGAGAGGATGGACTCTTCGAACCATTGACAAGCCATTAAGAATAGGCGTGCCAAACGGATCCTTAACCAACCGCTTTGTGAATGTCCAGTATCATCCTTCCACAAAGAATTACACCATCAAAGGATTTTCAATCGAGGTATTCAGAAAAACTGTGGAACGATTACCATATTATTTGCCATATGAGCTCATTACATGGGGAGGCAATTACACTTCTCTGGTGGAACAAGTTCATCTAAAGGTGAGATTATTCACTCTTCTATTTGTCCCAGCTTGTTCAATTTTTGACATATAAAACATTAATATAGCTGTGGTTTTTTTTTTTTTTTTTTGTTTTTTTTTTTTTTTTTTTTTTTTCCTAGTTGGTACTCACACACACATGTCTCTTTCGAGACTTGAATCTCTAACCTCCCTTTAGGAAGTAAGAGACTGATACCGCTAGACCACTGACCCGTTGGGTTTTTTTTGTCCTTTTTGTTTTTGGTATGTATGTATGTATGCGTATTAACAAGAACTTTGATGCAGAACTTCGACGCAGCAGTTGGTGACATAGCGATTATTTCCAAGCGATACGAATATGTAGAATTCACACATCCTCATACCGTATCAGGATTGGTGATGGTAGTCCCGGTTCAGTCACAATCGAGCAATAATACATGGCTATTCATGAAGCCATTCACAACAAAAATGTGGATTCTTACAGCGGTCATAAATATCTACAATGGCTTCGTTGTATGGATGATAGAGCGGAATCACTGCCCTGAACTCAAAGGCTCATCAGTGAATCAACTAGGAACCTTGCTTTGGTTGGCTTTCAGCGCATTGTTCCCTGTACAAGGTAAGTGTACTCAAGTAGTGACAACACATCGTTTTTATAAAGAAAACAATTCGAACAACAACAAATACACATATATCGTGTTGGTTGGTTGATTTGTTTGGAATTTGGGGACAGGGGAAAGGCTGCATAGCAATTTATCAAGGATGGCGACGGTGGTGTGGCTGTTTGTGGCACTAATCATCACACAGAGCTACACAGCTAGTCTAACCAGCATGCTCACTGTCCAAAGCCTTCAACCAAAAGTGGCAGATATTGGAACACTAAAGAGTAGCAATGCATATATTGGCTACTCCAATAAATCTTTTGTGGTGAGCTACTTGGTGGGCGTCTTAAACTTCAGCAACAACAATGTCAAGAGTTATTCAACACCCGAAGGATACGCACAAGCCCTCAAATCTGGAGAAATTGCAGCAGCTTTTCTTGAAGTTCCTGTGGCCAAGTTATTCATCGCCAAATATTGCAAGAGCTTCATCATGGCAGGGCCAACCTACAAAGTCGGAGGATATGGATTTGTAAGAATTGATTTCTCTCTTTTTCTTCTTTCAATTAAGTTTTTTAATTGCATTTTAATTTCTATACACATATACAAAAGGCTTGCATATATGTTGGGTAGTTTTAGAAACTGAAGAACACCTAAACCAGTTAGAGTTTGGTTCTTTTGTTGAGGCCAAACTTCTTACCAACAAAAACCATGAACAACTGATATATATCTTCATTCTTACAATATGCACTCATATAATCAAAATGTTAAGATCAAGTAACTGTAGAACTGAAATAATTTGTATAGACGTCAAATTGCATATAGCATATGACACGTGTTAGGCCTTCTTCTACTCTATCTAAGGTCATAACTTCAATCAAACGACGTGTTATCATATCTTTTTTTACTAGGCCTATCTACTCACGTTAACTTTGGTCTTCCTCTAATGATTTAGGCATTTCCGAAGGGATCCCTTATGCTTCCTGACATAGATGCAGCTCTGCTGAATGTCTCTGAGAGCGGCGTGCTACGACACTTGGAGGAGAGATTGGCTGCAGAAGAGAAGTGTGTGGAGGTAGAATCGGATAATAAAACTGCGAGTCTAAGCCCCAACAGCTTTTGGGTACTTTTCGTGTTCACAGGAGGGATATCAACAATTGCTTTAATCATCTATGGGGTTAGAGGGACATGGTCGACCGGACACTTCATGCTTAAACAGAAAAGCATTTGGATGTTCATAGTGGTTACAATGGAAAAGTGGAGGCTTCAGCAGAATCGCTTCTTCAGAAAAGTTAGTGATGTTGAGAGTCCTAAAAATCTCCCAAATGCATCAAACACGTGGGTTCAAATGAGTCATGTCTAGACAATATTCTAGGTTTAAGGACACTGTTTTAAGCACATCCATATATGTCTTTCTTTTTTGGATAGTTGGTTTTGTGGTGGAGCTTGTATAGTTGTTTGCAGTTAGCCCGTTGGGTCTGTTTTTAGGTGGCTTAATGAAAAAAATTCGATTTATCATGTTATAGGAATTTCCTACTATACAATGAAAATGATCATTTTCTTCTTATTTATATATATTACAAAGGGATCAACACAACCACCACTTCTATAAAAAAAGGAATTGGTCCATTTAAAAGATAAGAGAGAATTACATGTACAACAATACCGATTTCAATTACCAATTCACTTTTTGCAAAAAGATGTTTCATTCCGAATCATGACAAAATTTGGATTGTTGATTAGAAGTAAAATAATTTCTCAAATTTGAACTATATACTATAAGTTAGAATAATCAAAAATTCCTCAAATTCCAGCTATTTACCACTGTATTAGTTAGAATTTCCAAAAATTCTTCAAATATACGGTACAATTTAATGGTTGTTAAAGGTACAGAAAAATCATATTAACCAATTAAATTGTGGTTTTATAATGGCAAAAAAAGAAAAGAAAAGAGGAGTTATATATTTCCCAATTGATAATATTCTAATTTATTCACAACAAAATTGGACATCAGTAAACTAAAATATGGAGCTAAACATCAACATTGTTAATACAAAATCATCATAATTCTTGATATATCTAATCAAAACTGCAAATAACATAAGACTTCAGATGTACATTAGATTCTTGTACACTAACAAAAACAAAATCTGAAGTACTTCAATTTTATTTTTCTTACTCTTTTTTTATATTTTTCAAAAGAATTAAATAGAAAGACATATTAGCATTATTGTGCCCCCCCCCCCCCCCCCCCCCAAAAAAAAAAAAAAGAAAAAAAAGATTCAACAGTCAGACATTGAAACACTCTACCACATCACTCTCTGACAACTCCTTTCATACATCCCAATACAAAAGCCCACGAACCCACAACCTTTTTAAATCCAAAAATTGATTTAAAAATTAGAAGAAAATAAAAAATTATAATCACAATAAAAATATTTAAATAAAATCAACCCTTTTTTAAAAATTTGTGGGGTACGAACCTTTCGTACCCAGTGACACTACTGTGGAACCATCTTATCTCCATCTCGATGGTCCACGTGTCCCTCCACACCACTGCAATTTTGCAACTTGTCATGGGGTCCACCTAATAAAACATTAGAATGAGGGGAACACATCACGTGAACGCGCAGGTTAGCAGAATGCACACCACAGCATCTCTCTGTGATCAATTGAGAAGCTGATCTTTGTCCGTACAACCAGAGTTTGGCGGTGGTGGTGTGGTGGTGTTTGTGGTGGTGCCCATGTTCTTCTTGAGGCTCTGTTGATGGTATACTTGTCTTAATCTCTCTATTTCCTTCTTTAATGCTTCTTGATGAGCTGGCATTTCATATAAAATATTTTAATTAAAGTTAGTATTTGTATTATTGACCAACTTTAACAACTTCCCTCCCATAGAGTTTGAAGTTTTGAACTGCAACATTAATGATCCACTTTTTGTATACGATAAAAATTTTATTAAAAAAAAAAATGTACACACAATTATTTTTCAAATTAAGTTTGCTATTGACATGAGGACAAATAAATCAAAAACTATATATAATTTAGTTTGAAATATGACATGGGGCAGAAACAAATGTCAAATTAACAATACATATTTTGTTCTTTTGTTCAATAAATAGTATTGTGATGAAAATTCAAATTTACATGTAATAACAAACATTTCATATACCCATATCAGTAAATTCTCTGAACAAGTTTTGTTTAATAAGAACTACACTTATAAGTAACAACCCTTATGAATTAAAAAGATTTTAGAGGGAAAGCTTGACACTGATTATAATTTTGACCAAAAAAAAAAAAAAAAAATTAAAGCACAAGTGGTCCTAATATTTTATAAGATTTTTTTAAGGAAAAAAAAAAAAAAAAAAAAACATCATTAAAAATTCATAATTCAGGTCTTACCATCTTTGAAAATTTTATCTTGAGCCAAAGCAGCAATCCGTTGCTTAAGGGCACTATTGTCCACGTTGAGGATTAGGCGTTGATGATCTAAAAATGCAACCCTCGGTGACAATGCTGATACTTCAGTCTTCATTTTTCATCATCCACGCATAAAATAAAATTAATACAAAGCATAAGATCACACACACACATATATATACAGCTTTAAGACATATACATATAGTAAATTGTGTGTACCTGTAACGTTGTTACACTCCGTTCAAGCTCAGAAATGTATTGTAGCTTCCTCACTCTTGACCTCTGAGCCGATTGCCGGTTTGCCAAAATTCTGATAAAATTTGGACTTAATTAATTTTTTAAATAATTTTATGTTTGATACCATGAATCTCATAATCAGAATTGAATTATTATTATTTTTTTAATTGTAATTTCAAGACACCAATTTTATGTTTCGGAACATTGCATTGAAGAAAACTCAATTAACGTTTGTTTACGCTGCCTGACACAAAGTAAGTGATCAATAATAGTGTGTGTGTATATATATATATATATATGTCTTGTATGATCACCTAGTAATGGCTAGTATATGGTTGATAAGCTAGCAGTGTGAGATTGCCATGCAGATTTTATTTATAAGAAGTTATAGGTTTGGGTTTTAATTGGTGTTACCTCTTAACCCTCTTGGGATCAACAATGGTGTCACCGGAAGCAGCTGCGGACGACGGCGTTGACTTCTGTGGGTCAGATTGGCACGAGCTGTCCTCCTCTCCGGCCTCATTTTTGTGCTGCTGTCTGTGATGGTCCATTGGCGTTGGCTTCTCTTCATCATTACTGTTCTGATCAGACGGGGTCGACGGATTAGAAGACGACACCGTGGGTGGCGCCGCCAGCCCCACGTCGTCCGGAAACATAGTCATGAGCTGGTCATCGTCCAAACCCTCGAACCCATGGTTTCCCGCAGCTGGAGAATCAGAATTCCGGCATTCCTCGACGAAGGCGATGGAGTCGCTCACTGATCTCCGGTGGGTGCTGCGCCGTGCAGACGAGAAGTCGAGGAACTCATCCACCCAACAAGGTTGTTGTTGTTGTTGTTGGGCGGCGGCGGCGGTAGCAGCCGCTGTGGAGGTGGCGGTGGTGGTAACAGAGGGCATGGGTATGGGCATTGGCATGACCTGGCGGTGGTAAGGAAATGAATGCCAACTTTGAGTCATGTTAGGGGCTTTAGGGGGTAATTGTGCCATGCATTTGTAGTGTCAAATGAGCTAAATAAAGGAAATACGAGTCTCTATACTATTAACTGCATTACAAGACTTGGCAAGAACAACTGAAGACAGCAACCATTATGATTTTTTAGCAATCTCTCTCTATATTCATCTCTCTTTCTCTCTCCTCTTTTTTTCTATGTTGGGTTGCCATCTTAAAGGCCCAGAGGTTTTGGAGGGAAGGACGGTGGTGGGTCACATGGGGGGATTTTAGGACAGCTAGCTACAGCTGGTGGAGGGAGGGGGTTGTCTCAACGGTTTCACTGGAAAGTCGCACTTGTTTATTAACTGGCCACCACGTGCCTATCTGACCCCTCCATTTGGGTCTCTCTCTTCTTATTATAATCTAATCACTAACTTACAACATCACTGCCTCCTTTATATAGGAATACCACACAACCACTTTCAACTTATTTTGTACCATTAATCCTTCACCCTTGGATGACCATACACTGTTTCACTCTCCCATCCGATCATGGTCAATCAGTAAAATCACTATAATATCTCAAGGGCACCCTACCCGGAGTCCCTCAGTTGTTGTTAGATCAATCATTAGAGGACTCCATCATTACATTCAACTATTGAGAAACTCAAAAGTACCCTTTAATTTATATCTCTTATAAGTTGCATTCAGTATTTATTTAAATTGTCCAATATAAAGAATTAGTTCACCATTACAAAATTCGAAAATAGTTAAACTCACGAAATGTTATTTTACATCATTTTCACATCACAATAAAGTAATTTTATCATTGCATTAATATATCAATGAAAAATGAGATGGGGAGTGGGATGATTGTATCTTGACCATAGATTTTGGAGGGTACAACATATTGGTTGTGATGGAGAGAGATGGGAGATAAATAAATGAGGGGGGATAGTGGCATAGTGGGAAGATGTAGGATATAGAGGGAGGGGGATGAGCTGTGAGAAAAAAGATGGGGGTGTTAGAATCATGTCCTCTGTGAAACTGTTTGTAAGCCCCCACCTCACTTTGCTTTGTCCCCAAATCAGACTCACATGGTGAGTATGTCCCTTTTGCCTCTCTCTCTCTCTCTCTCTCTCTCTCTCTCTCTCATAAAGTTTCTGAGTAAGTTCAATCATCTCTCATGTTGGCATCTACATGTGTTTGTTTTTTTTTTTTAATGAAAGTACTTAACAGACACTAATAATGATTAGTGAAAAGTTGAAAGGCATGTTAGGTACTTCTTCTGAACCAAATTATTGTCTGTACTATTTCCCTCTAAATTAGTTGAAATATATAAGCACCTCCCAATTGCTGATGTCACCTCATACCAGTAACAGTGCTTTGTTTTTGGTCAATGATTTCAAATCTATTTAGTGGGAAACTGATATTATTCCAAAAGTAATAATTTCCTCACACATTATAAAAAATTATTGTGCCTAAATTCAAGTGTATACCTAAAAAAATAAAAATAAATTAAACTCAATCGGATAGATCTCCTTTCAATCCTTTCAATTTACAATGAGATGAAACCTAATTTAAGGCATGATAGCTTGAGTTAAAAAAGTGAAGAAATGAATAGATCTGGTAGCATCTTGTGCAAATATAGTTTTAATTACACAGTTATCCTAATAAAATATAGAGGGAATATATCCCCATATGATCTTCCATAAGCCTCCCAATCCAGATCTGATTAATCAATCCTTCATATCTTTTCATTTCAAAACTATTCATACAGATAGACCCTCAATGTTTACCATAAACCCTATTTTTATACCAAGACTCTGACTCATACATAATAGGTCATGACAACCACAAATTAACAGCTAATCTCTCTATATATATATATTGTCTCTCCCAAAATATTCTGAAATACCGTACAAGAAAGAGGAAAGGACTGTTGTTGAATACAAAAGACGCATTATTGCACGTGGGAGGTGCAAAAGCCCCAAAGGAACGACTGATTCCCACCACAAGCAAGGAAGTGACATAAATTTTGCAAAGTTTCCTACAATTGAATACCATAAATTTTGCGAAAATTTCCTACCAGTGAGAGAGTTCACCGAACCTAGTAATTATCATTACATATGTCAGTTAACGAGAACAGAGAAATTTAATAAACAATTGTGTTAGCGGTGTGAAGTATAATTAATTTAACAAACTACTCATGGCAACATGTAACGTAGTTAAATGCCTACAAGAAAACCTAACTGCCCAAGAGAAAAGAAATGAATATATTTCGATAACTTTTCGTAGTAATACACCTCAATTGAATGTGAACCGTGATGTTAACGATAACCCCTTCCTCCTCCGCGTCCACCCCAGCCTCTCCCTCTTCCACCAGTTCTGCCACCACGATGTAAACCTTCCAGTACCCTGTTGACAAGTTGGTTTGGTATGCCACCTGCTCCTCGACCCTTTTTGATTGCATAATTGCTCGAACCATTAGCAGCAGCAGCTGCAGCAGTGGCAGTACGTTTCTGACTGCAGTTACAAAATCATATCAGCAACTATAAAGACATTTTTCTTTATCGATAATTGGTTAAAAGTGTTTCACATTACCAACGAGCCAGTGGCCTAGCGATATCAGCCTCCTACTTCCCAAAGAGGGGTCAGGGGTTCAAGTGTAAGAAGAGGGTGTGTGTGAGTACCAACTAGGAAAAAAAAAAAAAAAAAAGTGTTTCACATTCATACCCGGCAACAGCAGTGGTTGATGGCACTGAACGTCTCACTGCTTCTTTCCATGACAAGTTAATTTTCTGATCCCCAATAAACGAAGGTAATTTTGTATGCAGTGGCTGGATTGCAAATTATGTTAGATAAAAACAGATCTAAGCATGAGTAGATGTATATAAAAAGTCATAGGAAGGCATTCACCTGGGTCATTGCCAGTATGTTGTTGCAGGCTCGAAGCCCAATCGTTGAATTCTGTTTTTGCTTCTTCTGCAGATTACAGACAAAAGAATTATCAGATATGTATGTAACTAGTTGCAATAACGAGAGTACATATAAGCTCCAAAGAAAGAAAGAACATGAGCAAAACCCACAACAATATCCTTCTCATCATCATTTTTAGCAGCTGCCATCGCTTTGTTGTGTTCTACCATCCCTTGGGTCAATTTTTTAATCATAGTTCTAGCTAAATCCTCAATGGTACTCAACCTGAATCATCACAACCAGAAAAATATTAACTCCGCATTCCTACAAATATGGTTTTTTGTGTGTGTAGCAATAATGTTATAATGCAATTAAGCGGTAAATGCAGTTTTACGCGAATTGCTTGATATTAGGGACCATATTGCTCATTCTACTGATTAAGAGTGCAACAGAAACTTGGATCTCTGTGATCCAATCCCATCGCCTAGAATCGAACATGTAGAAATGATCCATCTTCATTTTGTTAATATATAGGCATGACCAATTCACATAGATACTTCAAGGATTGTGTCTAAACTAATAAACTTGGAAACATTCTTCTTAAAAGTTAAAAGTCAATCAGAGCAAGGTCACCAAGATCATGCCTAGATCCCCAGGCTTTACATTATTTATACCAATTCATTTTTCTTATAATTAATCAAAAAGAGGCTCTGCACCAAAGATACACAAATAAAAAACTTTATAGAGATTAATTAGAACAAGGTCCCAATGTTCATGCCTGGACGCACGTGATGGGTAGTGTGGAGCTTGATAGATGCCCGACGGTGGGGTTCGGGGGCTTGAACCCGACCCGGATTTTTTGGAGAGTATTTTGGTAATTTTCGCACTTCTTATGTTGCCCTAGTGCGGGGTATTTATTCATTCTGAACTCTCTGTATTCGTTTCTTTTTTTTATCATAGTGAAAATCCCTGCAACCCTTGGACGTAGCCCTGATTTTGGGTGAACCAAATAAAATTTGTGTGTTCTTGTGTGTGTGTGTGTGATCTCTTTCTTGTGTTTTCTGTTTAATTTCAACAGCACAAGCTTCCACTATTTGTTCCAAATTATTTTTCTAAGCATATCCATCAAGAAGAAGCTCCTACCCAAGATCTACAAGTTCCATCGTCTGAAGAAGCAAAGCTCAACATCATCAAAACCTATCTGAAGAAAAACAGCATTTTCAATAACCGCATCGTAAGATAAATCCGATAAGAACAATAACACTAACCTCAAATACAAGTGATTCTTCAGGATGTAAGATTACTAGTCCTTGTAACCAAACACAGGACTCTATCGAAGTATGTGATCCTAAAGACATTATCCAAGTTTGTGTCGTGCCTTCTTCCAGATTTAATCTCCTTCCATATTACATCATCAACCATCTCCAGTTATTGTACAAAAGCATATAACTTAAGTTTTAAGACTAAGCAAAACTATGAGCATAAAAATCGCAATGCACTGGCCAAGTTGATAGCTCCGACTATGAGGCATCTCCTCCACGTCCAAGATTCAACTCTTCCCACTTTGATTTTATAGTTTGCAGACAAAGTTTTCCAGACAAGAGTGGTCTAAACTCTGTTCTAAGTTCTATAGACCTAGGGTCTCCTTTGCAGTATCCTTGATCATGCAGAATATAAATCTTTCTTTTGTTAATCTTCAGAAAAGAGATCTGGACTCTGCCTTCCATTTGTCATAATTGTTTCAAGGCTGAAGATGATAATGGTCATCTTTTCTGTGGCTGTTCTTTTACTACTTCAGTTTGGTTTCAGGTGTTTAATAAATTTAACATTCATGTTGGTCATATTTCTTCTGAGAGTCAGATGGGGATGTGGTTTTTGCAGCATGCTGAGGTTAATCTGTTGAAGTCTAAAATTCTGATATATGTCTTTGCTAATACTATTTGGTGCATATAATGCCATAGAAATTTGGCTTTTCAACAAGGGTGCAAGAGACCAGCAGTTGTTGCCATTGAGATTCTTTGGGAGGTGCTGCATACAATGCAGCATTCTTTTGATAATTTGCTTGTTATTTTTTTAATGTCTTTTTTGTTGAGTTGTTTTGGAAAAATCAATACGGGAAGGAGTGAAAGCCTGCGGGTTCTTTTTCTTGATGCGACATGGAATTCATACCCCCCTGTTTCTCTTTGTACTTCATCTTTCTTTTTCAACGAACATCCCATTTAGGAAAAAATATATAAGTGAGTTAATTATCTCAAAGCATTTAAAATACATCTATTTATCCTTAATAGAGAAAAAATAACTATAGGAGACAGCACATACTGACCTCCTATTCAAGATGATATCATAACTGTTGCACAATTATGGACATGATATGATGACAATTATAAATGGAAGCGAGAAATAGCTATACATTTTAGAATAACGTAGTTTTTCTTGGGGCTGAACAGCAGGAGTCATTTAATGCTTATAAGCAGCACGCTTAACACTCAAAGCATGATATAGAAAAGAAAAACTAATGATACGACGTACCTTTCTGTGAAGTCTTTATAGCACTCCGAGAAATCCTCACCAAGCCTATCTGACGGTTGGCCAGTGACAATCTTGTAGCCACATAGACTATTTGTGGCATTAGGAGTCTATAAAAATCATACAAGAAGCATAATCAGAAATAATATGCATGTAAAAGGAAGAAACTGAATAGGAGAACAAAATGTTTACTTACCTTGTAAGCTAAATGGTGAAAGGCATACAACAAGCATTCGACATAAGTAAAGTTCATTTCTTCAATCTTTCTCCGAATCATGCACTTCTGGTAGGAAAATCAGAAAGGAAAAATGTAAGCACGGATGCTAGAAGTGTAACCAAACTCCAAGAATAACATGTAGTGTGAAAAAGACTCTCAAAGCATAGATGTTGAATACTTGTAGCCTCCACGCCAACAAATCATCTAAGAGTATTAATATAGCTATGAAAGTGAAAAAAGTACCAACGTCTAGTGAACGTACATGTAATACATCTCGTTGATAACTAATGAAAAAAGGATGCCATTTGTAACTATCGATAACAACATTATCAACAGATGAAGGGGAGAAGGGCTAGCAAAGAAGGTTACACAACATAACTGGCTGTTAACTAGATTAACTTAATATATACTATTGAGCATTAAATATTCAACACATCATCCAGAAAAGTACCTTTAGAAGTTGAACAATAGATGGAAGAAGCTGGCGGGAATCCTGCGGTGTTATGCAAGGTGAAGATTCAGCAAGGTTCTTGAGCAAGTCTGCTTTTCGTTCTTCAGGAAGCTGACAGGGGAAACCATATTAAATCATATCAAATAAGTCCAGAAGTAACATGGATAAGTTTCCCAATATAAGCCATACACAAATGGAGCTCCAACTGCCCAAAAAAATAAACTAATTAATTTAAAAATATTTATTCTGACATGGCTAGCATGGCCATCTAAAGTAATGGTTAGCATTTTGGAGTAGTTGGCACTCATATGTTCCATGAAGTATAAACCAGTATCATTATCCAACATACAACAAGCCTTGATAAGTTTTAACTCTTTTTTTCCCTGTAGTAATCAGGTGTCTTTGAGTAGACTAATGAGAAGCTATGATTGGCAAGGTACAAATCCATCAAAACTCCTCAAACTGGGTTTTTGGTGAGCATTTCACTTTCAGTGACAAAAGTTGGCTCCTCAAGCACTACATATAGATCCCTAACTAATTATTACAATGAAACATTCCAAAAATAATGCTGGAAATGGGGATGTACATGGCCAATTTATAGACTTGTTCCAACTTATGGACCTAAATAAAGATACCCTAAGAAATCTTAAAAGATCAATGACATAGAAATTCAATCTACATTTATCAATTCAGTGGTATTTGGAAGTTCAGAAGCAAAGAGAAGCATAAACATAGAAATCCATGAGATCAAGGGGAAGTCTTAGAAAATAGTACCACATTAAGGTGAGACTATTTGTATTAATATTTTAAGAAATGTTATTAAAGATTTTGAGTAGATATTATTATACTACAATAACCTTAGCTATAATTATTTCATTTCCATCTGAAGTTATTTAATGGCTACATAAACCTTCTTTTTCCTTTTCTTTAGTCACAATTTGCACATAAATGGTAAGCCTTTACAAGATTGACTTGTAAGATTACGAGTTAGCAATATATAATATCTCAGTATTACTTTATCACCAAGATACACAGAAGAACGCAATGAAGAGAGTAAAAAAAATTAGTTATGAACTCAATAAAGCTATGAGATTATAGGCTGAGTTAGGTTGGGTCAAATTCAAATTGATGCTGGTTATGAACTGAATATGTTACCTACACAACCGAGTAAAATATTTTGCAGCTCAGAGTAGAAACTAAGCATACCTTATCAAACACAGGTAGAATGTGTTTGTTCAAATAGTTGAGAAATTTGCTGCTTGATGCACCCCTCTAGAAACAAATAAAACCTAACATGAATATATAAATCATATAATCCACTCTGTTGGGTAAAAATGAAATGAAATTACTATTTTGTACCTTAAAAAAAGGAAGAGCCATGTATAGGCAACTTATTAATCTGTCAATGTGATCACCATCTGAAGCCTGCAGTATAAAGAGTTCTTACAAGCAAGATTCAAAAGTACTTAAAGAAAAGAATTCACAACCTACAGAGAATGTCTACATTCACTGCGTTTAGCAATCAAAAATTTGGAAAATATAAATTGATAGAGAACATATATTGTTTCTATGGCCAAACAACAAATAATAGTTAAATGAAAGAGAGAGAATCATTTTTTCCATGGATTAACTATAAACCATAGTTGGCCACAGCTTCTGCAAACATACAAACTCCACCATCCTCAAAGTCCATTCCCACAAAAAGGAATTATCTTTACTAGTTTAGGTAAAAGTTTTGATGTGATGCTTTAAGAAAACGATAACAGTTATGTGCAGGAGGCACATACAAAGAGCAGCCTTGAGAAGAACGCAGGGGGGTGGTTGTCTCAAAGGCCCTCCAGCAAAGAAACATAAACTTGATATTTTTAAGCAAGAAATCTTTGCCCCTGTGAAATTCAGGAAAGTGATCCCTTGTATAATTACTACTAAAGAACAGCAAGAAGCCACCAAAGAGGCGAATTTCTTGTAGACGTAAAATTTTTGCAAATTTTGGCAAGTCCAGGTGACCTTTCAATTAGTCAATAGTCAACAAACTGCACTTTTTACTTATGAGAGCCAACAATTAGGCATGGGTTTCATAAAATTAAACAGACCAACATATACAAGGCATGTTAGGAATTCACAGCAGGTCCGATTATGCCAACACATGGCAAAATATCAATGTAAAATAAAGTAGGATCCATGACCATTGACACGTGTCATAATAGTAGGAAAACTCCACATAACACAAAGTGCAAAGTTTAGCAACTTCAATTTAAAATTACTAACCTTGCTCATGAATAAAGGTACCCATCGGAGTAGAATCCTTATTTAAAAACTCAGTCTTTTCTAGAAACCAAAATACCATTCTCTTGTCGAGGAATAACAAGAACAAAGAAGCTCCCCAAATCTTTTTTAGATCACTGGCCTTGTTAATTTAAAGAGTTTATTTTCTCCCTCATTTAATGACCCCAGGAATGAGACTGGCAGAACCTTTGGGTGCAATCAATCATTGTTTTATGCTCCCCTGGTACAAGGGGTGTAGAATTCAGAGGAAGGAAAGGAACAAGAAATGGAGAAGGAAGCCTTGGAAAAAGGAAGATGTTTGTTCTCCTTTTATTTGGTTGAAGAGGAAAGAAGGGACGCTATTCAATTTTATCATTGTACTCATATAAAGGAAGTGTGTGTTTTCAAAGGGTGAACACGTTAAAAACAGGGAAGTGGGGACTGCGGAGACCTTTCCTTCCCCCTTACCCACCACAAAGAGAGAAGGATTTGGAGTCATCCCCAAATTCCTTCCCTTTTCCTACTTTATGAACAAGTAGAACTCCATCCCTCCCATTTTTGTTTTCCAACACCTCCTTCCTACCACTCAAACCATCAAAGATTAATCTGGAAACATAAAACTCCCTCAAGATCAAAATATTTAATTTTACCAAGTTGCTCGTAGAAAAGGTAAAACCAAGGATATGTCATTTAACATTAGATATCCTCAAAAAGTATAATTGTTGCAATATATAATTTGTTTCAACAACAAATTGTAGCACATGACAAACACATATAGCAGGCTAACATAAATATCTTATGCCATGCCATCAGGCATGGATTAAAAAGGGGGCAACATGCACAAGACAACAAGCAGTTCATGTCTCATTTGTAAAAATGGCACAATAACATGGAACAAGTAATCAGAAAAATACCACCACGATGTCAACTTTCACATCAGTGTCTGTAATGGCATGGCTTTTAAATCAAGAATCCACTACCAGTTTGTTGTATACAAGATGGGAGCAAGCACTCACATTGAATTGTGCATCTAGATCAGCCTGTCCTTCAATGATTCCAACAAGTTCTTGAACACGTTCTGCAGTAGCATTCTGTCCAAATAAGCTCAAGCTTCTCAAGAAGTCCATGAACATTTTAAATTCTACCCCAGTTACATCTTGCAAACTCTGGAAGAGCAGTATATCAACTTGTCAGAAGTCTTTTTAAGATATATCAAAATCAAAATCAACATCTCAGCATTCAATAATGAACTGAAAAACCAAAGGAAATCACTTGCCAAATAGGCAAAAAAACAACCAAGATATAACAACCACCCCCACTGCCACCCGGAAAAATAAAAAAATAAAAAAAATAAAAAAATAAAAAAATAAAAAAAAAATTCAGAAATAGAACAAAAACCAAATAATATTACATAGGAAGCATACTTTTTTCACCAAATCAGTTATGTGTCTCTCCATTTGATCTTGTGGCTTCAAGAGTTCAGCTTTAAGAGGAAACACCTACAATATATCATCACTTGTCCTTAAGTTACAGCAATAAAAATATACAATATGAACAAAAATAATAATAAACACTGCACCTTATCTCTGATAAAGTATATAACTTTTTCACGAATGGTTTCATCGGCGCTAGGTTCCTCAGAGCTTGCAATACACTTAAACAAAGCCGTTAAGGAAGCTGAAAGAAACACATACTGAATTACATTGAGAAACAAGAAGTGGACCTCCTGAGAGCTTCATGGTATATTAGATCATTGCGACAGAATAGTTTCACACACAAGTTGACTTATAAGCTACAACAGAATAGAACATAATTCATATGAAGCACTAATTGAAATTATCTCTGTGAAAACCGAGTTACAAAAGTATTTTCAGACCATGACAAAGTTGTTAACAGTACTGCTGCTATCTATTATGTGTGTTACATGGACTCTCCTATTCCTTTTAACGTATTCATGTCGACACAATAGAACATGGGTTGGGTATGGGATATGTGTCTAACAGACATACCCAAATCAGACATTTAGATCCTCTAACTTCGATGATGAAAGAATAAGAATAACTCAAATTGATAGCAAAAACGGGTTTTCTACCTTTGAGATAGATGAAACCACTGCTGTTTCACCATATTTATTTAATTTCAATTATTTTATTGAGTATATTTTTAAAGAGTAATGGCACCATATGTTACACTTTTACACGGTATATTATGTTTTTAAGTGGTAAAGAAGTATCTACGTACCCATATCCAAGTTTTAGACACATTTCTATATGATGAGTCCACGTATCTAATATTTTGGATTTAGGGAGGTCCGATACTTGGAACCATACCCAAACCCAAAACATGTACTTGAATCCAGGTAACATAGTCCATTATTTAAGATAGAAAGAAATAAAAAAGAAGCCTGACAAAGCATAATACAAAGGGTCATGCCATCCTGGTCCCTTAAATTCAGGTAGAACAAGTCAACCATGAAGGAGCTCTCACTGGGCTTGCAACTTCATTGTTGTTGGATAAAGAGGCTGACCACACAACCTCCCAATCCAATAACAACGAGGGTGTAAGCTCAGCGAACACATTCATTGTAGCTTTTTTCATTCAGGTAAATGCTTATCATCAACATTTATTGCAACATATTATAGTTGTAATTCACACAAAAATTAAAAGCCACTGAAGGGAATCAGAAGCATTTTTGCCCTGAAGATTAGAAATTAAAACTTAAAAATCACTAATGTGTTAACAAAATCATGTCCCCTAACCATGCCACAAAACAAGCTGTGATAACGATAAAATTTGCCTATAGCTCACTCAATTCAATCGGATCCTTCCGTAAGATATTGCATGACGTTTGAGGCTGGCTTCACTAACTGAAGTTGGTTCCTCATGAACTATGTTGATGCAGTCCATTGCAAAATCACCAGAGATTAAAATAAATTGAAGTGAAGTTCTAACCAATTCTAGTCCATGTTAGCCACTCTAGGAACTTCACATAGTGCCTTATCTTTAGACGCGAGGTACCAAGAAAAGAAGGCTTTGATTAGATAACTTATAATCAGCTTAGATCCTTTGTCAAATCATGAACATGAATTCATGTATCATGAGTATATTCAAATAATAGTAGTGTGATCCTCTTAAGCAACGTGTTGCATTAACTTTTAGGTGCTTCAAAAAAACTGTGTGACACCACATCAGCATCTCAACACAACGAGAAGGAGGCAAATATTTTTGCTCTATTCTTATATTCCAACTACCTCAAAATAATAATATTGTATTAGCTAGTTGGAATATAAAAACATTGATAGCTAAATCAATTGATTTGGTGAACACCGTGATTATGAGATTTAATGTAACATGCCTGCAAATTGCAATAAATTGTAGGACGGGAGGGAAAAAAAAAAAAAAAAAAAACTAGTAAAATTAAACATACGGGATAGAAATTGTATTGCACAAGAAAATATAGAAATAAAAATGGAGTTGAGATGATAGTTAATAAGAATTTAAAAGAAGTTGGAATATTACTAGAAAAGGGAATAAAGCAAGATCAATTCAACTTGTAACGGGAGATAAATATATTTAATATAAGTAGCGCATATAAACCAAAAGAAAATAAAAATCATAAAACTGGCTGATTAAATTTAAATGGGAATAAAACAAATTGTTCGGGAGGATAAAATGTTAAAAGAAGCAACATAAAATTTTGATGTGGAAGAGCCGAAGGGAATAACTGAATGTAATCAAAGAATACAAAAAGAGATTCTTGGAGAATAAAAAAGAAAATCACCTTTATCTAAAGAAACTTTGGTGGTGCATACAGAATGACCGAATTGTGGTAATAAAAGAAAAGGAATATTAGAATATCAATACAAATAAGCCATTGCCCCAACTGTTAACGGTGGCCAATCCTCTAGCATCCAAAGAAAGCCTCTTGGACTAGTACAAGACACCATCATAATGGAAGTCAATCTTATAACCTATTTTCAAGTAGTATATATGTAATTTGAAATAGTTAACAACTCCAGAGGTCCTGATATTAAATTTTATACAACAAAAATGCAATCAATATCAAATAAATGGCAGTGACAAGATCAGGATAAAAACAACAGTAACAATTACAACAAAAAACTATATAGCATAATACATATATATATATATAGACAGGGCCTTGATGGTAAAAAAAAGTCAAAACAATATATATTTGAACTTTCCAACAATCATGGTAAGAAAGCGTACTCTTTATGTCCTGCCGCAATAAAGACATAAGGGCTTTATGCACCGCATCCCGCTCCACATTTTCCACTAGAATCACCACAAAAATTGGAGATTTCAGGTTTCAGAACAACATTAAAAAAGGGTTCTAAGCAGTACTATTCAAACAATGAACAGTTTCTCACCCGCTATAAGGAGCTGTGCAAGTACATCAACAATTTTAGACAGATGTTCTGGTGTATCCTTGCAGAAAAATGGAAGCCCACGAATAGCTTGTACTCGAACCTGTAGCCATTAATGAACAAAAAAATAGAAATTTAAATTGAACTTTCAAATACCACAAATGATCAAATACCCATGAAAGCACTATATAAATAGTTCCATACATGTATTCAGTACAAGACAGGACAACATAATTAATATAAAGTTCATTTGGGTGTACATTTGCAAGCATATATCTAGTGTACATGAATGTATGTGAACAGGGTTACTAGATACTAACCCCAAGCTCCTCATCCTCGCACAAATTAAAATGCTCGTCGATAGCTCGGACCGAAAGGGTAGGGAAGTACTTGAAGAACTTGGGAATAAACTGCGCAGCCAATTGTTTGGCCTTTATACTGCCTCCGGCCGCCTGGAGTATGCCCTCATAGTCCTTAATGTTCTGTTCAGAAAAAATAAAAATAAAAATAAAAAATAAACCCAACAAACCTAATACAACCAAAACGAACAATAACTAAAGCATTGTGAAACCCTAAGAATTAGCAAAAATAAGAACATTTTATCGGGAGATAACCTGTGACTTGTCTTCGGCCTCGTTGAGCCGTTCCCCGTACTCGTATAGCTTCTCGATGTAGTTCGAATCACCGGAATGTTCGGCCATGGTTTACAAAAATTATATTAAGCAATGTCTGTGTGAGTATATATGTATATATGTGTGTATCGTATGTGTGTATATATATATATAAGCGGGTAGGAGAGAAAATTTTGAAAAGAAGGGTTTGTGAAGAGCGCTGAATTAAAATTGGGAAGGAAAACTGGGATTTCGTGAGGTTATGAAGTGAGAGAGTGCGTGAGGAGTAGAGAGAGAAAGGATGAGAGGTGTAGCAGAGGGAGAAAACTGTGGAAGACAGAGAGATTCTTTGCGGGTTAAGGAAAACGCGGTACGGTGAAGGGCACAAGGGAGGGAAATTTTGGGCTTTTTTTTAACGATCCATTAAATTCCCTTCTTGCAAAATTGGGCCACTCTTTAGCTCAACCTGACCTAGTTAGTTTTTCCTCTTGTTAAGCTTGGACTAACCACACTTAAAAAAAATTATCCTTTGTTTATGGTCACATGATTAATTTTTTAAAATAAAGTATAAAAGGAAAATAGTGTATGTGATAAATTTTTAGAACATAAGTTCTGGTTCATTATTACTCAAATTCATTTTAGAATATTTGAGAAAAATGCACAAGTCATTATTAATATATTAACACTCAAAACACAACCTGACATTTGGTTCTAAGACTTGATGGCTCCATATTCAGAAATACGTACTTATTGGTACAATATTTGCTCATAAATTCTGCCTTTTCCATGTTTGAAAAACTAAAAAACGCTGCGGAAAGCCAAAACAAAGTCACATTTCCTCCTCCTATTTTGTTTTTTATTTTTGCATCTTTTTGTGAAATTAAGAACTTCAATGAAAATAAATCGAGCATACAAGGAGGCCCAAAGAAGCGAAGGAGGAGACTATTAAGGATCACAATTGTAATGTGACTAAGTAATAAAAACTTTAAAAAAATGGAAAATGTTGCCACAAAAGTGTAGTAACCTGGAATGACAATCCCAATCTTCACAAATTACATTGCATTGAATTGGTAACAGCACTAAGAGTGTATAATACAACCAGCCAAAGCTCAAATTAACAAGCATATACATATATGTGTATATATATATATATTCATTTATAGTACAAATGCATCTTTTATGCAAACCACCTTTCTTTTCTTGTCTTTTCTTTTCTTTTCTTTTTTTCTTTTGCTGAAGAAGTAACCCTTTTTTTTTTTCTCCAACAATCCAAATTTATCAGTTATCAGGCAGCATACAGAGAAAATTTATGCAACTTCACAACCAAGGAAGACAAAATACAAATCATAGCCAAATCTAAAAGAAAACAACAAAATGGAACAGTATAGAGGAACACACAAATGACCAAAAATATATAAGTCTCGAATGATATAGACAAGGCATTCCCAACATATCCCTGCACTTCCACAAGTGCAATCAAACATCCAAACTAGTCCCGCCCTTCCACATAATCATGTATGTTCTTCATCACTTCCATGGCTTTTAACACGGCCATTTTAACATGTCGGATAGCATTTTGACCAACTCCATCATGAAGCACTTGGTTTCTATGCCACCAAATTCTCCAAATACAGTTAGTACAAACTACCTTGGAGAATTACGAGCCAACTTATTTTATACTTTGTCCACCGGCTATATTTGATATGTACATGCCGATGCCGGACAGTTCTTATTGGAGGACAGATCATGCCCAGATCAACCACAATAGCAATGAACTCCAGCCTAGTTGTGCCCATTCTGTAATTCTCTACTTTGACCGGTTGTCTCTTCATGTGTGAAATGGGACCTCAGTCCAATCCAGCACTGGTAATAATCATGATCCATTAAGGGAGACTCAAGAGCCCATGGGCAAACACGGGGTATTAAACATGATTCGAACATGAAAGCCATAGTATCAGCTATTTTATGTGGTCCTGCTTCATTTCCAAGTGCAATGGTAGCCTGTGCGCCAAAAACAATCAAATTAGGACACTCTTGCTCATCATTCGCAATTTGAACACTTAAGACTACCAAGTCAATTATGAGAATGGCAACAATATAACTAAAAAAGAGGAAATTTGGACCCCATGAAATGTAGGTATTCAAAGTAACGAGTAGCCATCAGCTTTTTCTCTGGGTTGTGAACAGCACCAGCTTTTCCTCAGGGTTGTCAACAAGAGCTTACCTCATATGTTTTAGCATCAGGACCATGGGGAGTCATGCAGCTGTGAAGGCTTGCAGCACCTGGGAGAAATCCATCTGCTTTTGCCTGAAAACAAGATTGATCTATCAAAGATATACAAATAGAACAAAGAAATGAACTTCATATTCGAACTCCCTCTCAAGTATGTGGTTATCACTGCGAAACTTAAGTACATCAGCCCAAAAAGATTTGGACCAATGTGTTAGTTGGCAAATATCAAAGCGGTTATAGCCCCACAATCCAATGTTTTAACATCAACAGCTTGCCCATATAACATGTTAATGGACATTCTGAAATCTCACTTAAAATTGGGAAGCACCAAAATCAATTTAATAATTCAAGGGGAAAAAATCAATTTAATAGCATAAAAAACAATAATATCTGAAGGAGTTAGCAAAAACACGTATCATAGTATGTACATATAATTGAAAAAAACCTTGGTTTCCCATACATGTTTCAAACTTAACGACCAATACTCGTCTTTTTGAGTTGAATCTTACAATACTATCAAACATTTTGAAATATACTTCACTTGCATTGATTTTTTTTATTTGTTTAAAAAGTCACATTGCATTTAATCACTTATTAGAAGAAAAAAAGATTTTTAAAACAGTAGCATATAACATAACTGGTAATTGTTTTATAAATTGTGATTCATATCTCGTATCTTACAATACAATATACTGTTGGGCCCTAAAAAAGAGACGAGAACAATGCCTTCATGTAGCGGAAATGAGAATGTTAAGATGGGTGAGTGAAGTGACTAAGAGAGATAAGGTCACTAATGAGAGTGTGAGAGAAAAATTTGGTGTAGCACCCATTGGTGAGAAAATTAGAGAGAGTGGACTTAGATGGTTTGGACACATATATCATAGACCAATAGACGCGCCGGTTAGGCGGGAAGACTAGTTGTAATAGAAGGTAAGAGAAGGAGTCAAGGAGAGAGCGACCAAAAATAACCTGAGATGAGATTATTAAAAATTACATTATATGGGGAAATGTTAAACAAGATAGGGTAAATGACATGTAATAGAAAAGATCGGATAGAGAGACTTCATGTTGCCAACCACATTCATATGATGATGATGATGTAATACTACCTAACGAGGTCTGTCAAATGTTACTATAAATCAATTTAACTAAGTAATCATATGTACTTTGTTAAAACTATATATTAATAATTTAGATAAAAAAAAGTATATCTATTTTTTTGGTAATTAAAAATAAAATATGTGTAACAAATACATATGCAACTCTATGAATGTTTTATAATGATTTTGAAACCATAATCTTTTAATTTTCTTTGATAGTGGGATATGATTGAGAAAAAATAACAAAATAGTTAAAAAATTATTATTATTATAATATATATATATAAACAAATACGGAGTAACATATAAATGCTACTGTATTTTTATCACAATTTTTTTATTAGCATTTGCATTTTTTACATATATGTATATCAGCATATTTTTATGATTTCCATTTTTTATGACGAATTTTTAATCATATTTTAAAGAAAAAATCTTACTGTACTTGTATGTATCATTTTGTAGTTTTTTTCCCGCTGTTTTTTTTACTAATTATGATCTCAACCTACATATATCACCATCCTCTATTTTGGAAGGGCATATTGTTGGGGGTGATATAACTTTTCTTTTTTTTTCCACTCATTGCTATGTTACCCTAAACTATAAGGATGAGAATGCAAATTTGACTATGAAAGTACCACTTTGTGCAAAATAGTATAGAAGGTTAGGTTTGTATTGAATCCACCCTTCCCAACCACACTTAGGTAGGACCAACATTGGCAATGGCCTTTTACCCATTGGTTAGTTCTGATACACAAGGTAACTTTTTATTTTTCAATAATCAGTACAACTCTGATCAACTCCTCATAGAAGTTACCATGACAGTATAAGGGTGCAAATTGTCACAAAGTGATTGGTTACCTCATATCCTCCGTGTATTAGACCCATAAATTCACTCATACAGTTGCGATGGTAATACGGAGGCCGGAAAGTATGCTCCGCAACCAACCAACGGGGAGGAAAAATGACAAAATCAAGCAATGCCACACCAGGTTTATCAGTTGGAGCTGTCAGCACTGCATCATAGACAAATAATTCAAACCAATAGATATTAAACATTATAAATGAACAGGGGAAAGGTCTCTCAAGGAAATGGCAAACACTGTAATTGATCCACCCACCTGTATTTATTGATGGATCACCATGATCAATCAATACAGTGTTATAAGGGCAGAACTTACTTAGATCATACTGCAAACAAAAAGATTTTATCCATATCATGTCTTGCAAGATGTTAAGTATTAGTTTATACAGATAACTGCACAAATTAAATGAAAGAACTGCCTGAATGATGCCTATCCTTTATCTGCATAAGCACTACACGGAGGATTAATATTTAACAGATACCCACCTTATACGGGACATAATTACCGTGCCAAGCAACTACATTGAAGGGAGAGAAATCTTGTCTTGCAGTAAAAAGTTCACCTCCAAACTTCTGTACAATAGTGTACCCTGGTCGGGAGCTCTGCTCAAACCAGGCCGTGGGAACAAGGAAATCTCTCGAAGCAGCAAGACCATTAGCACCTATACATATGTCGTACGATTAGGAGAAATTTCAAACGTGTTTATAATCACAATTGATGAAAAGTTATGTACCTATTGGCCCAAGATCAGGAAGTTGAAAATGGGTACCAAATATCTCAGCAACGTAACCACTTGATGGCCCATCTGGCAAGTTAATAACAAAACGGAAACCTTGAGGTAAAACGACAATTTCACCAGGAGAAACTTGCAACCTTCCACATTCAGTTGTGATCCACAGCCCTACATGAATGTATAATACATCTCAATAATTATTGTTTCACACAGGACATAGTCATTAAGACAGAAGTAAAATAACAATAAGAAAGTTATTGTTGAAGTTGAAGACCTGGGAAATAAAGCAAAATTTTATTTTTAGGACCTAAAATTTTCCAGCAATGAAATTAAAGCTATAGGTTAACTTGTAAAGATAAAATGTCAAGGAAGTATATATCCATGATACATATGGATTTACAAGCACAGAACAAAGGAAAAGTTGATCATCACACATAAGGCAATGATGAGTGGGAAAATATGACAGAATTTTTACCAAGAGGCATAAATTATTCACTTTCTTAGTCCATCGTGGATAACCTTTTAAACCACTCTATCAGTTAAGTTGGAACTCTATCTCATTTGCGCATTTGAAATACCAGATGCTTAAACTAAAGATGAAAATTCCACAAGTCAAAACATATAACAAAATTTAATTTACAAAATCTATAGTAACAGTCACTTACTTCCTTTCTGGGGAACTATCAAAAAATCGCCATCAGCATTGCAGAAAGCACAATCATCCATGGATTTGTTGGCAGTGTACCTACAAGTGGATAAAATTCTTCTGCCTATCAAACATCTCATATGCCAAAAATTTGCAACTGCCATTGATTTAAATCTAGATTTAAGAGCATTGGATAGATAAGGTCAAGGATTTAGTGCTCTTGTAGTCTCCTATAGAATACTATTACTCTTCTTTACAAAGAAAACCTCAGGACCTACAAATGAGGGCAAATGATCTAGCTCATGACTTATTTGAAAATGGATGTGTATATTTTAAAACAATCTTATGTGATGTCTTATGATATTGTCCATTAGAATTTTCATGATTGATGTCCTTTCAGAAGTATAAATTCTTTCCCTGATGTCAAAAAGATAAAAGAGATATAAAAAAACTCATTTTTATAATAGGTATAAAAATAGTTCAATTGTTTACTTTTAACACTCTCCACTAGTCCCTAGGGAAGAAAAACAAGCTGAAATTATACAACTTTGAAACTGCGGTCATTATGTTTTCTGTATAACACTAATCAAACACGGATGCAATGACTGTGATAAAATATGGAAAGATTGCAACTCACAAGGCCTTGGATTTCCACAACTCTGAAGACTCAATTATTGAAAAGTTGGACAGACTTTCAAGCCGATTTGTTTTCCAAATTTCACCAAGGAAACGAATCAGGAGGAAAAAAAAAAACTAATACCAGTAAGGTAACTATAAATAATAAAAACTATAAATAAATAAAAAATTGCATGTTTCAACAATAAATGTTTTTTAAAAATGCATGATTCAACAATAATCAAACAAAACCAACTACAAAGAGGAGTTCAGGGTTCAATTACATGTGAATGGCATAACCATGCCGAAGAAATGAACTGCCAGCCCCACATACTGTGTATAAGCCATCAATAAAATCAGTTGGTGTATCTGGAATTTCAGCAGGCTTCCACCGTAGTTGAGTTGGGTTTGCAGAACTGTTGGACTGGTTAAATTCACTCACGAGCTTCACATGACTGGGTAGACGAGGTTTAAATGGTTCATGCGTAACAGATGGTTTTATTCGATATAGCCAACTGCCCGAAAAAAGAACAACATAAATAAAACCAAAAACGGAATTATAAACTAAGCCATCGCAGCAAAATAAAAGAAATAGATATTGTTACTGTAGATGCAAATATTATCACATTAGATTAAATTAAGGATCCATTTCACTTTGGCAGCAAAAGTTTCAAGGAAAATATGTGTGTGTCTATATATATATATATATATTTTTTTTAAGGTGTGAGGTGTTCTAGCATAAAATTTTCAGGAATTACTCTAAGTATGGAGCTTATCTAAAGAACAAAGAAAATAAAATTGCATTTTTCTGAAATAGTCTACAATTAATTACCTAAATATATCATCACCAGAATGGATCACTTTGTATATGTTTAATGTTAAGGACTCAAAATTACTCCAACTTGCGCTTATTTCTTGAATGATAGAAACATGAGTTTAGGCTTAAATTAGCCACCATATAACTATACGAAGCTGATATTCAACGGATAAGAAAAGTTGGTCTTGCTATAAAAAAAAAATAATAATAAAAAAAAAAATTAAATTAAATTTAGCTAAATTCAATCATTTCAATTTTTTGGGTAAATTGCCATGACCAGATGAATTTCAATCAAACAGATGTAATAATCACTGAGAAGATAAAATAAAATAAAGACAACAACAACGAAAAGGGCAAGAGTAAATTTAACAAACCAAGATGTTCTTGATCAAAAACAAATTGATTGTCCCTACATGGATATCACGTAGAATAATCATTCCTAAAAAGGCTCGACTATGGAATGATCACCATCTTCCACAATATCTTCACCAAGAAAGTTACTCGTAGTTCCAAATTATTTTAATTTGAAGAATTTTGCATCGGCTGAATAAATAAATAAACACGCACACATATATATATATGATAGGAAGGAGAGAGAGAGGGAGTGGGACCTTCGTTGGTTGAGCTTACGGGGAGCGGTGAAAGAGGTACCGGAGATCTGCTCGGCGTAGAGTCCGAACGGACAGATGAGAGGGCTGTTTTGATTCTGAGGTAGGGCTCCGGCGATCGCCTCCGACGAGAAGTGGTTGCCGAAGCCGGACTGGTAGTCCAAATCCGCCGGGAAATCGGGACACTTGGTAATCTGGCTCTCCATAATCAGCCTTCAAATGCTCCCTGATCATATACCAACAATGATATGAATAATATATACTGTGTATATAGATATGGATATGGATATATATATATTGGTTAGCTGGTGTTACCGTGGCACGGTGATCCGTTCCGAAAGGACGTGCGAACTTCGTCTTGTTACGGGTTACACACTGTACACCCTTTTAGACTATTCAGTATGCCTTCGCCTACCACCTCATGTATTAAAACAGATCATGTTCGAATATGATTTTTCTCATAAGGCTTGAAACATTACCATCTCATTGATAAGTTATACTAATGGTAATTGTCCCATACGTGAGATTGGAGTCCTATAAATGGCATTTCCAAAATTTGGGCCTTCAAATTTGTCATATATTTTTTAATAATAGTTTCATTAATATTTTCAATAGTCAATCAGCATTTGTACTCTTTAAATTTTAACTATTACAATTTAAGTAGGGATGTCAATTTTTACCGCCCCGCCGGAGCTCCGTCCCGTCCCACCCCGTTAATAAAGGATATGGAAACACTTTTTATACTGTTGGGGCGGGCATGGATACAAATTTTGTACCCGTCACGGGGCGGGTAAGGGTTCAGTATACATATTCTAAGAGTCCCGCCCCGCCCCGCCCCGTTAAGTATATAACTATATTTTATATATAGATATATATATATATATATATATAAACTTGGTATTAAATTTGCTTTTATTTTGGTTATGGTGGAAGTTGGAGTTTAGAACTTCTTGTGATTTGATTATATTAAACTTTTATTTTTGTTTATTATGTTTTCTGAATTATGTTATGTGCATGTTATTTTTTTTATTTTTGTTGAGATACATAATTTCATTTATGTTGTGCTATCCCCAGGCTTTCCACATTCAAATAGCATGAGCTTAAGTTCCAAAAAGTGGGAGAAAAAAATTTGTTAGCGGGGCGGGCACGGGGGCACAGTATTTCCCAACGGGGCGGGGTTGAACAGGAAAATCCAACCCGTCGAGGGTCTCAGGGCGGGCATGGATTTAACAAAAAATAAAAGCGGTGGGGCGGGATTTAGGGAAACCCGCTCCAAACCTGCCCCGTTGTCATCCCTAAATTTACTATCTCCAAAAATTAAATATTTTAATATTTTTAATAAATTATTATTTTTTATTTCTTTTTTACTTACAAAAATTATTAAGCAATACAATATTTATTATGTATTAAAAAAATTAAAACAATACAATACCATTATTAAAATCAACTAAGAAAAAATAACAATATACACTTTTTTCCTTTTTTTTAAAGAACAATCATATGGCACAATCATGTACAATATATTTTTTTCTATTTAAAAAGCACTTCTCTTTTCTTTTTTTTTCAAAAAAATATTTAAAGAACTGCCAGTCGAATAGTGTCTGAATGGCTGTTTTGTTCAATTATGTTAAAAAAAAATAGTTAAAAAAACCAAAAAAAAAAATTAAAAATATATTTTTTTAAACTAAACATATAAAATCGACCGTCACCCAGGTCACAAAGCGACCCAATTTTTTGGGCCTGGAGGCTCGCTCAATTGGTGGGTCCAAAAAATCGGTGGTCATAATAAATGATACAAAATATTTTGTCAATATCCCAAGTTCCCAACTTCTCGTGTTATTAGAGTCATTAGTTGATAGTATAATAAATAAATAATATATGGTACGAAACAGCAATAAAAAGAAAGACAAGTCAATTTTGAACTCATATCTACTTACCAAAGCCAGCGTCATACATCCAAACCGTCTCTATTAGGGCAACGTGGGACCGTTCATGCATAGGACAACAACAAACAAACAAAAATATTGCCCCGTTTGAATATTGAAAAATATTACAAGTCCATTCAATATATCCTTTATCTTTCCTTCTTAATTTCCGGGGAAAAAAAAAATATTTATCTTTTTCTCTGAGTTCAGAACTGAACCATCAAATAAATGTCAGAGTTCTTATCTCGAATCGAAAAAAAAAAATAAATAAATAAATAAAAGAAAAGAAAAGAAAAGAAAAAGATAAAGATAAAGATAAAGAATAAAGTGAAAAAAAACTCCCCTCAACTATTAGTCAAAATACAATTAACCCCCCTAAACTACAAAAAGTGCAGTTAACCCCCTGAACTATGCTAGTTCGATGCAATTTACCCAATCCAGCCACCGGGAAAAAAATTTTGATCTTTAATTGGAACGTGCATGCCACATTTTATCTAAATGACCATTTAACCCTTGTGAAACAAAAAGACCATATTGCCCATTTTTTACAAACACTGTTTATCTTCTTCATCAAACCCAACCGTAAGATTAGATTTTGTCGCTCCAACTACGACAGCGTAAGCAGCTGCTCTCTCCCTCCCTCTATGTGTGTGTCTATATATGTGTGTGTGTGTGTGTGTGCGCGCTTATCCGGAGAATTGAAGATATCCAGAGGAAGCATTTGCGGGAGAAATAGTTGAATATGAAAGACAAGGATTGAAATCCAAACAAAACCCCTCTTCATCAATACCTACACACTCCTCATCGGAATCGTAACTCAGCCGACGACACACCTCCCTGTCACTCGTCGTCGAATTGATGGTTCAAATTAGACCTAATTCCTTGTTTCGGCGAACCCAAATCGAGAGCATGGTCTCGTCGCCGAATTGATGTTCAGATTGAAACCCAATTACTTATTTTGGTGAACCCAAATCGAAAGCTGTATTAGTCATAAGCCGTAATCGCCGATTGTCATCACCAATTGTTGTTGTCCATCGTCGTCATGGATCGCCTTCGTTGTTCGTTGTCGTCGTGGATCGCCTTCGTTATTCGTCGTCGTCATCGCTGTATCCAGTGCTTGTGGATTTTGAACCACCTGCTGAGACCCAACCAACTGGATTGCATGGGGTTTAACCCTAATTTTAGAGTTTCTGCAATGAAAAGAATTCCCAAATTGATTTCGATTCTCTGTGATTCTCAACATTAACAGGTTAAATTGCCCCTTTTGTAAACTCAACTAATTATGGTAAGAGGTTTGCTTTTGTAAACTCAACTAATTAGGGTAAGACTCCACTAAGCAATTAAACCCAGAAAGTTGCAGCAACCAAATCCGAAAGCCTCACCTTTACACAACTAGCGAGCTATCAAACCGTATGCAACCGGTGAAATTCATCTCTTCCGGTGAGTTTTTGCTCCAGTTTGGGTGAGTTGTAGTTCAATTTGGTTCCAATTCTAGTGAGTTTCGACTGATTCAACGGCAAGCTCCCCCCTTCGGCGAATCCAGCAATCTCAGATCCATATATTTGAGGGTATCAGTCAAATTTATTCTTATTTCGGTGCTGTGTGTAAGCTTTGATGTGGATTGCTGAAGTGTCAATTGGTAATTGGCTCTTCAGATTACAATTTGCCATGTCATTGGATAAAATTTAAATGTATGAAATTTTAATGAGACTATTTCATTTTGTTTGAGGGTATACATGTTATTTAACATTTTCGGTGAGGGATGTTGACCAGATTAGTTACTGTTGTCCTCAACTGCAACAACATGATAGTTCAAGGGGGTTTCTTGTAGTTCGGGGAGGTTATTTGCAAAATGCCCATAATTGAGGGGGGTTTTTTGCATTTTACCCAAAAAAAAATTACTACCTAAGCAAGATTTGAAATTCTACAATCATTTTCATTTTCAATTTATATTCAATTAATCGCTAGCAGGAAATATGTGACCTTTAGCCAAGCCTGTGTTATTTCGTGCTATTTGTAAAGCCCCAAGTAGGGGTGCAACTTGGGCTGGCCCAACCCGGCCCAGCCCCAACACAACCTCAACCAGAAATTAGATTGGGTTGGGTCAACCTGAATTGCACCCAACATGGGTTGGGTTATAACCCGGACCAAATATGTTTGGACGGGATGGGTTGGGTCGGGTTCACGGGTTGTTTTTTTTTTTTCCCCCCCTTTATATATATATATATATATATATATATATATATATATATATACATATTTGATTATATTTTTTTGTAACTAAACCAAAAAACAAAATACAAAATCTAATAAGAAGTTCAAATCCCATATATTTTAGACTATCAGTTTATCCATCGTCTGCAAGAATCAAAAGTTCAAAACGGGCATATCATTTCAGATTGTTCAAAAAATCAAAACCTATATCTTTCAGTTTCAAAACTGAAGTACATAACTAAATGGTCATTCATCTCCAAATAAACGAACCATAGAAGGAAATTAGTTTCAAAACAGCTGAGATTAAGAATAAAAGTATTACCAAAGGACTAATGATATTATAGACAAAGTAGAGTGCACTTGGATTCCAATAAAATTATGAACAAATCCAAACATAACCAAACAACATGTTATGGTAAGTATGCCAAAAGAAAGATTTTTCACACCCAAAAAATTTTTAAATCCAACTAGACCAAACAACTCAGTATTCCCATTTCTTCATCTCCATACCATCCGAAGGGCTTCCTTCAACCTTTGAACCCATTTCTTTCCATTTAGTTGACAAGCACCGTTCCATTTGACTCGATCTGTAAGGTAGCACCTACAAAATAAATAATATTACTACTTGGGATGGAACATCAAAATCAGTAGTATATATATGATACCAAAGCATGGAAAATTCCAGAAGACTTCAAAGTGCTAATAAACAAGCGATACCAAGTTTGGAAAATGTAGATAACTTGACATAATTACATGCTATTTAACTTGAATATAAAATAAAAGATTGCCTGTAGTTGAACACAAAAGAGCATTTTTATCACAAACACAAATTCAAAATTGTAAGAGCATTTTCATCACGAACAAAAATTCAAAACTATAAAGGAACTACGTAGTCTCACAGTGCCATTAAAGTTCTAGGAGATGCAAAGGAGTATTAAAGTTCTTGTTTTATGTGTGTGTGTGTTGTTCCTGATAAAAGAAAAGAGAATGTGTCAATTACAATTATATGCAGCTTTATCTTTCATCAAACATTTGATCAACGTTATTTTCAACCCTCATCTGTCCTTCAAACACTTTCAGTTGAACCAAATTGTTCTAGTAATAAAAGTCTAAGTTATAAGTTAAACCAATTGTGGCCTCAATAGCAACCCCAATCCACCTACACATGCATCAGCAATTGCTAGCTCTATATCAGAAGCCAATATGCAAATGAAAGCATATTAACATAAACAATTAAGAACAGTTCTAACAATTTATATATTGTCAGATTAGCAGTTGCCTCAAAAGCTTTAAACAATTAAGACCAGTTCCAACAATTTATATCAAGCTC